AAAAAACATCATATTATATTAAGGCATAAAAGGTCACAAAAAGGTCATAGTATGGTAAGGAATAAAAGGACATACTATAGTAAGGCTTGAAAATGCCAAAACACGTCATAGTAGAGTATGGCATAAAAGTGTGAAAAAACATCATAGTATAGTATGGCATAAAATGTCAAAAAACATCATATTATATTAAGGCATAAAAGGTGATAAAAATGTCATAGTATGGCAAGGAATAAAAGGACATACTATGATAAGGCTTGAAAATGTCATAATAGGTCATAGAAAAGTATGGCATTAAACATCATTGTATAGTATGGCATAAAAATGTTGAGGATTTATAAAAAATGTCAGTATAGTATGGCATAAAAACATAAAAAAACGTCATCGTATAATATGGCATAGAACGTCATAGTATTGTAAGGCATAAAAAAGTCAAAAAATATAGTATAATTGCACGGTGCAGATAAGACTGGACCCAAATTCAGCCAACACAGGGGAATGAGGTGCAAAATGTTTATTTACTGAAGAACTTACAAAATGGGTGAACCAACAGAAAAGGAAACCGAAGCACAGGGGGCACAAAAGGAACAACAACCGGAGACACAGGGGATACCACAGCCAGGCAGCATGAACAGACCAAGGACAAACCAGAAATGAACAGCTCAGGGACAAACCAGAAATGAACAGATTGAGGAAAAACCAGAGATGAACAGATGAACCAACACAGACAAAGGGGAGCACAAAGAATATATAGACACAAGGGAGTCAACGGTGATTGAACACAGGTGAAACACATTAGGAAAGGGCAGACAGTCACCACACAGAGAAACAGGACCAAGACAGGAAGTAAAAACACTGAGACACACAAGGAAACCAACTACAAAATAAAACAGGAAGTGACAAAAGTCCAAACAAACTCGAACAAAAAGTGTCTGCCATGGCAAACCATGACAATAGTATGACATAAGAAGTCCACAAACCTCATAGTATAGTATGGGTTAAAAATGTAAAAAAAACGTCTTATTATAGTAAGGCATAAAAATGTAAAAAATTGTCATATTATAGTATGGCATAAATCATCATAGTATAGTAAGGCATAAAATCATCAAAAAACGTCATAGTATAATATGGCATAGAACGTCTTAGTATAGTAAGGCATAAAATCGTGAAAAAACATAGTATAGTATGGCATAAGAACTCCACAAACGTTATAGTACAGTATGGCATAAAAATGTTAAAAAAAGGTCATATTGTAATATGGCATAAAAACATCAAAAAACATCATAGTATAATATGGCATAGAACGTCATAAAAATGTAAAAAAGAAAATTATTATAGTAAGGCATAAAAACGTCCACAAACGTCATAGTATAGTAAGGCATGAAATCGTAAATGAACTACATAGTATAGTAAGGCATAAAAACGTGAAGAAATGTCATGGTATTGTATGGCATGAAAATGTCAAAAAACATCTTATTATAGTATGGCATAAAACATCATAGTATAGTAAGGCATAAAAACGTCCACAAACTACATAGTATAGTATGGCATAGAAATTTCAAAAAACGTCATAGTATGGCATAAAAGGATGCACAATTGTAAAATGCAAACACCAATATACAATAAACAAAAAATAACTGTCAATAAATATCAGAGTGAACAGCAATAGCGACTCTTCAGCAAGTCCGTTGATTAAAATTGCTTTATTATTCCTGTGTTGATAGTTTTTATTTTGCAATCTGTTAAAAATACATATCTATAGTGTTATATTTCAGTACTGTAGCCCAGAGAAAATTGTCCATTTGGATAGAAGACGTGTAGCAGCAAAAAATAAATCAATGCCTAATATAACAACATGGAAAAGTGTTAATTGGCAATTGAATCGTTACCAGTCCTTCTCTATACTCTCCAATGTCTTTTTCTTTTTCTTCACTAGGCCTAGATTTATCTGACAGTTTTATCCTTCAAATAAATAAATATTAAAACTACCGAACAGTTTCCAAGCCTAGTACAGTAGCACTTATCTATTTTTTCTACTGCTTGAGCAGCACTGTTTGAGAGCCCAAACAATGCAATTATATGTATATATATATATTGGCATATATATATATATATAGGCATTTCAAGCACACCTGGGGCCCCCCTGGTGTCTATGGCGGCCCTAAGCAGCCGCTTAAGTCGCTTATGCCTTGGGCCGGCAGTAATTCTAGTCTAAACCTCAAACAGTTATTTAAATCAAACAATCTGAGAATCTTCACCTGTAAAGCAACTAGCAACTTTAGCTATGAGACAAATATGGTGGAGTACAAGTACAATATTTCCTAACTAAATCTAAGTGGAGTAGAAGTATTAAAATGAATAAAATGGAAATATGACAATAATATTGTACTTAGTATAGTACTTTAGTAAATGTGCTTACTATCCACCACTAAATCAATTAATGCAAAGGTCAGTAGAATGATGTTTTTTTGGGGGGGGCTTTTTATGCCTTTACTGGATAGCACAGTAGAGAGAGACAGGAAATGGGGAGGCAGAGGGAGGGGGAATGACATGCAGTGAAGGGCCGTCCGATGCGGGATTCGAACCGGGGCCTACTGCAGCGAGGACTGTAGCCTCTACATATGGGGCCCTTGCTCAACCCACTGCGCCACTCAACGCCCCAGTAGAATGATGTTTTAACAAAATTTTATTTCATCTTTACTTCTTCTTCCAGGTATAGCAAGTCTGTGTACAGTAGGAGTTATTTCTGTTGAACGCTACATAGTAGTGTGTTATCCCATGGGTGCTGTCCTCTTCCAGACCAGGTATTAAGATCTCACTTAGATGCATCACACAGAACTTACAAAACTTGATTGTTCCACCTGCATGAATCACACCATCTCTGTTGTCCCTCAGACATGCAGTGGCTGGAGTGGTGCTGTCCTGGGTGTGGTCATTTGTGTGGAACACTCCACCTCTGTTTGGTTGGGGAAGTTATGAGCTAGAGGGGGTAAAGACTTCATGTGCCCCTAACTGGTACAGTCGTGATGTCGGGAACATGTCCTACATCATCATATACTTTTGCCTTTGCTTTGCTGTGCCCTTCTCCATCATCATGGTGTCCTACTCACGACTCTTGTGGACCCTTCGTCAGGTGAGCAATAGACATCTGGTCATACAGTATATTTTTCTTGATTGTAATGATATCATAATAAAGTCTTTTTGCTTGAATCTTGATGTCGTAGGTGACCAAACTGCAGGTGTCTGAGGCTGGCAGCACAAATCGTGTTGAGGCGCAGGTGGCGCGTATGGTAGTGGTGATGGTGTTGGCCTTCCTAGTCACCTGGCTACCATATGCTGGCATGGCCTTAGCTGTCATCATAGACCCCAGTCTATATATTGACCCTGTTATTGCTACCATCCCTGTTTATTTGGCTAAAAGCAGCACACTCTACAATCCCATCATATATGTTTTCATGAACAGACAGGTAGTCCTCATGCACATTTATATACACATACAAAGGAAGAGAAATAAAATGAATTCAGGCATATATAATTATACACTTTAATTTTCCTGTATTAACCATGTGTGCCGTATGTTTGTGTTTGCAGTTTCGAGGATACGCTGTTCCTACTGTCCTGTGTGGATGGAACCCCTGGGCCTCAGATGCACAAATGTCTGAGGGTGAGACCACTGTTGTCACTCTCAACAAGGGCCAAAAAGTCTCACCTAAAGAATCTTTAAAAGAATAAAAATATGTATGAATGAATACTACAAATTCTCCAAAAAAAAAACAAACAAACAACACATTGAAGCACATGTGAAAAGGAAACCATCATCACATGAGACACTGTTCTCTGTCATGAACATTGTTGGTGATGAATTTTTCTTTTTGATCTCACTTTGAGGATTATAAGATAAGATTCAACCAATTCAATTCAAACTCATGAAACCACATATGCTTTGCTAAAATCAATTATATGCATCAACATGTTCACTCTGTTTAGGCAAAATCTGTAATTGCAGATGAATTTTCTAAATTCAAGCTTGAGTTAAATATAAATACATAAGTTTGACGTGTAAGTAAATATTTGTTTTGTATTGATACATATTTATCCCAAAGTTGATGAGCAAAACAAGTCAATAAATTTCAATTAGCATTTGCAACAAACTGCTGAAGCCCTGTAACATTGAAGAGGCATATATAGTATAGTAATGTGTATGTGGTTGATGTTATAATCTGTCACACTTCATAACAATATATTTTCAAAGGATTTATGACAAGAAAAAAAAGTAGTTACATCATTTTTATTTTTTTATTAGGTGTACACATCCCCTTTGCTTTTTAAGGTCTGTGCTCAAGCATGGTACAAACCCATCACACGCAATCGGACCTTTGTCACCTTTATATGATCTTTATGGCTTTCATTGATAAAAATCAAAATTATCAGTGTGTTATACTCCTTTGCAACCTGATACTTCACTCCAGCCGTTTGGATCCAGCATGTTAAACAGCAAAAAAAAAATAAACCTGTCATCAGTCTCACAGTTTGATCATTCACAGTCATTTCCCCTCTCTAAATAAACACAAATGCAATCATACTCATCCTATTACCTTGGCTTTTTATTGATTACAGAAATATTGCTATGACTTTCATTAAAGAAAAGCAAAAAAAAAAAAAAAAAAAAAAAAAGCCAGAATGTGAAGACTTGTATCAAACCTGTACACTTTTTTATATACAGAGTGAGGGATCATCTATGTACATGCTACATACCGTCACACTCTGGGTAAATAAGTAGTGCTTCTGACAGGCACAGACATGGGATCACTTCACCTTTTCTGAATCCATTTCGAGAAAAGGCTACAGAAGTGACCCTAGGTCGGTGCCTGAGGAGCAGGAGACTGTAATCTACACCCTCTAGCCATCTCATAGATACAGTACATGTTGACATTTCAACTGATTGGTGTCACACTGTTGTGTGCTTGAACACCTGTTGCTTGGAGAATGGACTTTGGTCCTGTTGTTTCTGGCAGCCTGCAACAATAACAGCATGAAACAACAGTGTGTCTTGAGTGCTTCGAGTCCTGCTAAATACTCAGAGACTTTAGTAACCAGTTAGACAGGCTACATAACAGTTTTCTGTACTATATTCCTTGAGGTTGAGTCAGATTTGTCATACAAACTATCTGGTCCCAATGCCGGCAGCACATCACATTGTTGCTGAATAGCGTGTTATCATTTTCGTCTTTATTTAAGGTACAGTCTCCAGACTCGCTGAGGAGCCATTACAGGTTATTGTGGTGATTGGTGTGAAAAAAATCATGTAATACGATCATGTCCCATGCTTAATTTGAACCAACTGGAAGTACCCCTTTTCCAGCAGCAGCTATTTCACATACCAACTGAAAACTCTGTGAGTTTAGTACAGAAACATGCTTGAAGAGATCACAAGTAAAGACATGAGTAAGGTAGTCTCTGAACAGCAACATTATGGTCAAACTAACAGAGAATGAATAACACAGAAGACCGACAGGTTGATGCTAGGAAATGATTCTTCTTCTCCACATACAGTTCGCAAAGGGTTTCAGACCATGTACGACATACTCTGCTCTACTGGGGGAGACATACAAGACCAGCTGTACCTCACAGCATCCACAAAACGACACTAGCAATAAGTCCTGAGCTCAAGGAATGTGCAACACGTCCCCAGGCAGTCGCCAACTGTTCCAGTGGGAACACAGTAAAGACTGAGAACAGCATCCTGGAATTATCATTGCTTCTGACAAGTAAAAAGTACGATCATATATATACAGATTAAAAAAAAAAAAAAAAAAAAGACTAAAAATAAATGCACATGGAGTTGGGCAGGAGAAGTTGGGGTTCTTGAATAGTCTACTCATGATCTAAAGAGGTAAAATCAGGTGCAAACAGATTATCAACGTCAACACCTATACACCACACAACAAATCAAGACAACTTCTGAGTGAAGGCAAAAGAGGAAGGGGGTGTCTAACAATAAGCAGGTGAGGATTTGTACACTTCCTTTACCTCTCCGTCCTTCAATGTTGTCCTTCTTGTGTATTGACACAGGAGCCTCTTGCAGCGTAGTGTTCTTTACAGCATGTGAGTGTGTGACAAATTAAGTAATTATCGTCTACTACTGGTCTGTGAGTTGCAGAGTGCTTTTAATTGTAGTACATCTGTTCATTTTCCTATGGTTAGTGTTGTTTTTTTTGGTCTTCTTCACTTTAATATCTAGTGTGTACTTTACATCCTACTCTGCTTGAGTGACTGATGAGGTAACGTAATGACAACCACCCTGACCTCGATTGGACAATAAGGTGCTAAAGTTTATCTCTGTAAACTCCAATGATCTACACACTCTTAACTTTCAAGTGAACTTTCAAGTGTGTGTGTGTGTGTGTGTGTGTGTCTGTGTGTGTGTGTGTGTTCTATTTAAAGGACCAGTGTGTAAGATTTAGGGGCATCTATTGGCAGAAATGCAATATAATATTCCACATGCTGGGCTCCTCTTCCACAGAGCCTGCAATGTTGTACTGCCATGTTTCTACAGTAACCCATAATGGACAAACCAAACACTGGCTATGGAGAGGGCCTTTCGCGTTTTTACACTACCTGAAGGCCACCGTAGGTTCTCCTACATGCTTGGAAAGGGAGGGGTGAGGGGAGGGGTATTCAGTTGGTTGCAATCTGCAACCTCACCACTAGATGCCACTAAAACCTACACACTGGTCCTTTAAAGATCATGTAATAAAGGGCCAAGAGGTTAGGCGAGGGTCTAGGGCTGAGGTGCAAAATTCAGAGTTTGGATTCAGGCTGAGGCGTGTTATGAAAAAGCAGAGTTCTACAGCTGAGTCTCTTTATGTACAACAAGAGTCCAAAAAAACAAAAACAAAAATCAGAAAAGAGAGCGACAGGGTTCCTCTCTCTTTCTTTGTCCTTTGAATCATGTCCACCTTCATTCCTTCTTCCTCACAGCTCACTGATGCAGCAAGTTCTGTTCAAAATCCCGAGTCAGCTCCACGTCTTAAATGCTGCCCTCCTCTGGACAGCAGCGGTAGCAGCAGCAAGGAGAATCTTGTACTCTCCCACTTTTCTTCCAGCATCACACACTTCTCTCATTTTTAATTTTTCTGTCTTTAAGGTTCAACTGAGTCTTTATATTTTTTTAGTCAAGTATGAATTCTTCAGCCTTAGTTCTGTGTGGTTTTGTTGTCATTTTGCTATGTGTGTGTGTGTGTGTGTGTGTGTGTGTGTGTGTGTGTGTGTGTGTATGTGTGTTTATATGGCAGGGTGTGTGTAGCTCCTTCAGTTTGTGTGGCAGGGTCAGTGAATGTATGTCTGACAGGACAGCTCCACGTGTCACTGTCCTCCTCACCTCAGCGCCCCCGCCAGCACTAAAACAACACACTCTGCCTCCTGCTCTTCCCCTGGGCTGAGAGAGAGAGAGAGAGAGAGAGAGAGAGAGAGAGAGAGAGAGACACACACAGAGAGAGGGAGAGAGAGACACACAGAGAGATGTGAAAAAAGGTTTGAATTTGATTTGGACACACACACACACACACACACACACACACACACACACACACACACACACACACACACACACACCACTCCATGCCAGCAACACAAAATGTACACTATAGGGCCAAAAGCACTGGATCCTTTATTTTTGCTGAAAATTTGGGTTTTTTGCAACATGGGGAAAGTTTAGATTCTACAAAAACAAAACTTGCATATGGTGGGTACTTTGTAGGCGAACTGCTAATTTGCAGAAAATATGACTGAACATAAACAAGACCAACACCAAATAAACAAGAAAATAATCCAAACAATTAGGGTACACTGGTGGTTTAGGGATTAAATATGATGATTATGTTACATGTCACATCTTCCTCTCTCTCCTCATTTCCCATTGCCTCTTAAGTCTTGGCTATCTGAAAAACAAAAACTGCCCCTGAAATAAGATCCTGTGTGCATGGGGGTGTTCTCATGTTGTAACAGAAAAGGCCCTTCCCCAAACTGTTGCCACAAATTTGGAAGCACACTATTATCTGAAAGGTCGAGAACAAAAGTACACAAACAATTATGGACAGCTACTTTTGACCGTATAGCGCACCTGTAGTACTATCACTATTATCACATCTAGGAAAAGATTTGCATAATAAAGTTCTTTAACCTGTAATACTGTGTGTGCAGTCTAGCTGAAGCTGAAGCTAAATGATACTTACCAGTAGCTGTTACACACTGGCGTAAAACAAACATACTTATACATACTGATAAGGTGCATTTATTACACACAACCAAGCAAATACACACTAAACCAAACCCTCACTTACAGACTTAACAAAAAGGCTACATCTCTCGCTGCAGAAACCTAAACAGGACTGCAAATGAAAAGAATCAAATGACTCCCCATTCTTGAATCACATTCTTTTCCATTATGAATATATTGTTTCCCTGAAATAAAACACTGGGATTGACTCACTCTGAGAAAAAGAGAATTAGGTAAGTGAAAGCTGAGATGATGCCTCTGGGTGTAGGCCTTGAAATGTGAGGGAAGACCAGTAGGAGCAAGAATAGGGAGAGGAAGAGGAATTGACGAAAAAGAAAAGGGCATGAACTTTACTAGGTGTGAAATATGTTGTTTTGGTTCAGGGAATGTAAGGAGGGAAGACAAATGCAACAGCATTTAGTCCAATTCAGTAACAAAGACAAGGTGCAGTTGGACAAAAGAAACCAGGTAAAAGCCAAAAAGAGAAACAGGAGTAGAGGAGCTGAACAGAGGACAGACAGAATGAAAGAGACCGTATTTACCAGAACGGTAGAGGCCACTCAGCCAGTGGAAGTGGAGGACAGATTGTGACTCTGAGCCCTGGGATTGGCTCCTTCTCTCTGGAAGTACTGCGAGGGTGCAGAGCCTAGCTTATGGGCCATCGCTTTTTAGGGTTTAGGGGGGGAGGGTGGGGAGGTTGGGAATATTGAGGTGTTACGGAGGAGTTGGAGCAGGGTACACAAGGGAGATAGAAAGGATTAAGGAAAAGATGAACATTGCGAAAGAGGAGAGCATGGGTACCAAGAAAGAGAAGGGACAGTTCATCAGAACAGGACAGAAAGGCAGTGGAAGCAGGAAGAAAAGAGACACACACAGACTGAGACTGTGATAAACACAGAAAACACTAAAGCAAATCTAAGCAAATGTCAAAAAGGCACATCAGGCATGCACAGTTAATGAATAGTGTTTCAGACAAAGGTAAAAGCCCTCAACTAAACTGTTAACTGGATGTTAACTCAATGTTTGGCTGTATTGCTTAGTTTGTTCATGTGTGAAGGGCTTTCTGTCTATAGCTTGAAGTCTTTAAAGTAAATTAGCATCTTTCAACATCCAATTGTTACATTTATATGTAAATTGTTATTACACTGTTAATTACAGCATGTAGTTTTAAATATGACAATGTGAAAAGCAATGTTGACTTTTGGTAAAACATTCACTTGTATAGCTTGCTGTTCATTAGTGTGTGTCGAAATATTGTTGATAGCCTGTATTAGTTCTTCATATGGTCTAAGGGGCAGGCAGGATAAGTCTGTGTCCTTGTGAGAGATTGTTAATGTGTTAAGTCATTGCTTTTGTGAGGGAATAAATCAATAATCTGTTGCCATTAAAACAAGACTAGAGCCTACAGCCATGCTAGCACGTCTGTGAGGGACAGTTGTGCTTTAAGCTAAATGCTAATGCTAGCATGGCTACCATGCTCATAATGACAATGCAAACATGCTGATGTCTAGCAGGTATAATGTTTACCATCTGAGTGTAGCATTTTAGCATTGGCTTATGAACACTAGTGTCAATAATGTTGCAGGTATTTGATCACAAACCAAAGAATTGGACAAATTGGAAGTTTGACCTGCAGATGGCACTAGATGAAAAGTGGTCACCAAAGTTATTACAGTTGGGACGTGAGGGTCTGCCCCAGATATCGTAGCAATTTATCTGCTAGTTGTCAACATATTTCACTAAAAGCCAAAAGTGTCAACATTATGAACGTGCTAGAGGAAAACTCAGGGGATTCTTTGTCTGGGCAGCTATGAATTCATATTTCAGTCTGGACCAAAGTGGTGGACTAGAATGGCTAAAAAATAACATATCTTGTTACCTTTACAGAGCACAGCAGTAATTGATACAGAAGCAACAATGTTTGGACTTAAATACAACAGAAGCTTATGTCACCAAAGTTTTTTTCTTGGTTCATTATCACTTTAAAGTGTATTGCAGTAGGTGTTGTAAACATTCGGTGTTAGGGATCTCTATGTAGTGGAAGTATGAACCTGGTGATAGACCGGGGAAAACTGTGTGACATGTATGACCACATAGTGGCATGACAGACGACATAAAGCAAAGACAGAGAGAAAAAAACGAGAGACGAGGAAGAGGACAGGGAGCAGGACCTATTCTCTATCACATTCCCACTGGGAATTCCTCATTCCCTGCTTTTTCCTGTCTTTTTTTACTTGCAGGACTTACTTGACTCTGGGTAGACTGAGGATCTCTTTCCTGGATCTTTCTGGAGCTGAATGCCTTTTACGGAGAAGATGGATGAGGCTAAAATAAAAACAAAGGGTTGGTGAGACAGTGTGTATGACCAGTGTCAAGTGTCCAACATGTCAGATCGTATGTACTCACTGTCAGCCAGTGATTGAACCTGCTCTCCAAGACTTCTAAAATATGAGTGTCTGAGAGCATCCTCAGCTGATACACGCTTCTTAGCCTCAAACTAGAGACATGGAGAGACAAAGAGGGGTATATAGACAGGATTGTTAGCTTTTTATCTGGTGCTTTAGCTGTACATATGATAAAATTATTATCTGTATACAGCAATTTTCTTTACCTGTAGAAGCATTGACAGCAAATCATGACCATCATTGTCTATTCTGTGTGACAGAAAACAAAAGGGAAAGTGACGGAGAGGAAGAATGGAGTGTCAGTGAAGTCAAATGCTGAGTGTAGTGTTTCCACCATTTCAACAGAGGCGAAAATACTTGCTTACACTTCCTGGTTGATTGATTGCAGGATTTGATTTCCTGAAGATCAATCCTGCATCTTATCTTATTACATCTAACATATCACTGTCACTTAAAGTACACACACACACACACACACACACACACACACACACACACACACACACACGCACCTGCAAATTTCACTCCATGCCATGTGTTCATACACTCAGATCTACACACCTGGGTGCGTGGTTGACGAGGGGTTCTGCGTTGTATCGGGGGAAATTGTATGTCTTAAACTCTTCACTGGTGGTGATGCCTGGCCAAGTCTCTTCTGTAGGAGTACCTGTTAAAGAGAAAGAAAATATGTAGTAGTACAGTGTACACACGCATACTGTACATAAAAGCATGAATGTTGCACAGGCAAATGCTCATCCACATTCCACTGGTGTCATCTTACCAAGGATGCGGAATATGAGGTGAAGCTCATCCTCCACAGTCGATCCAGGAAAGAGAGGTCTGCCTGTGATCATTTCATAAAAGATACAGCCCACACCCCTGGACACAGAGACAGAAAGGGTGAAATGGCACAATGACCTTAAACTGCACTATATAGCCATGCTGAAGTGCACTCAGTTCAATATATGATGTTGTTTTAGACAAATGAGTCTACTACTAACTATTTAAATACAGGAACAGATTCAAAATACAACTTGAGCCATTTTAAAGGGAATCTCTACAAAACAATGCTCTTGAGTAAGTTCCACAATGCTTATATCATAAATGTATAAAGTGCTCAAGCACTGAAAAAAATCTGTCCAACATTTCTTCAGTACTAATTCTAAATCTAAGTCCAGGGAAAAGCCCAGTAGCATCCCCAAATATCCTTCCAACTGTTGAATCTTTGCATGTTAACTGTGAACTGCAGTATGTTGACAGTGACAATGGTGAAAGAAATTGTGGGGATTTGGGGGAAGCCTGGGGGATAAACAGAAGCATTTCAGATACAAACAAAAGTAAAAAAACAAAAAGGCTGACAAACAAGGCTAGTATTAAAACTGTGTGAACTTTCTGTATAAGCTCACCACATGTCAATTGGTGTAGAGTACTCAGTGGATCCTAGAAGCACATCTGGTGGCCGGTACCATAATGTCACAACTTCATTCGAGTAGGTCTTTGTAGGGACAGACTTGGCCCGTGCCAAACCTGAATTGAAACACAAAATAGGGACACTTAATTACACAAATATTCCCTTATGAATGAAATTTCATATACTGAGTAAGATCAGAATTGTTTTTGTGAACACTTTTGAGTTGCAACTGCATTTGAGTTTTGAACACGTTGTTATTACTCTATGGAACTTTTTGGAATGTGCAAACGGTACATTATATTTATAAAATAATTCTTTATCCAGATTTCTGTTTCAGTTTGAATATACCATTGAATTCATTTGTAATTTACACAGCAAGATAACACTAACACATGAGTATGTGTAACAGTCATGTTTCAATTTTTATAGATAGAGGGCAGTGTTGGGTGGTAAGTCACTCGTCCTGCCTTAGAAGCAATATGGCCTCTAGTGGTCACGAGAGGCACTTTCAAACTCACACAATATATGTTTTATAAAAAAAAATGAATGGATACAGATTTTTAAAACTCTGTAAATTACAAGTAGCTTTGAGTATAGGTTTCAACATTGTCCTTTGAAAACTGCAGTTGTTGTTGAAGGAAAATCAGGCAAATGTCAAAGCCATGTCAAAACCACCATTTTCACCTGCGCTACCTCAATATGACAGAGATATAGTGATCTAGTAAAAGTGTTACTATACCAAAGTCTGCCAGTTTGAGCTCTCCTTTTTCATTGATGAGCAGGTTCTGGGGTTTTAGGTCTCTGTGGAGGACCTTCCTTCTGTGGCAATACGCCAGACCTCGTAACAGCTGGAACAGAAAGATCTGGAGAGGAGAGGAGATTAGTATATTATTGTTCCAAGCCTAATATTACACTTACCCATTAAACACCAGTTAATTAACCAAGTAATTTATTGTTAGGATAAAAAAAAATGGGTGGCATTTTTACAACACAGTCATCACAGAACAAAAATACATTTTTAGAATTATCAATGAGGACCCAAGCTGTCAATTTTATAACCAGAGAGTATTCTTATTTAAACTGTTGAAATAGTTGTCTTCAGTACTGAGACTTGTATTACTTTAAACTACCTTGACATTGTGAACACTCATGATGCTCCCACAGTCATCCATGTACTGCTTCAGGTCTTTTTCCTGATGAGAAGGAAGGAAAGAAAGAAAGAAAGAAAGAAAGAAAGAAAGAAAGAAAGAAAGAAAGAAAAGAAAAAAGGAAAGAAAGAAAGAAAGAAAGAAAGAAAGAAAGAAAGAAAGAAAGAAAGAAAGAAAGAAAGATGATCTACATTTGCATTGATATGTCTTTTAGAAACACGCACACAATAAATATACACAGTGGAGACACTCACCAAGTACTCAAACACGAGTGTCAGGCACTTGTCAGTGTGGATAATGTCATGGAGAGTGACAATATTGGCATGCTTCAAGTCTTTCAGTAGAGACACTAGAAGAGGGAGACACATCAGACAATGTCAGTCAAGCAAAGTGAAACGGTGAGGAGTAAGACATCTCGCTACATATTAGCAGAAACTCGAGGTCCCAAACACATTTTCAAAACCTTACAAGATCCCTGACAGTATGGTTCTGTGTTGACAACAGTTCAGTACCTTCTCGGATAGCTGTGCAGGGCGCACCCTCCTCATGCTCCAATCGGATCTCTTTCAGAGCCACTAAATTGTCTGTTAACTTGCTTCGACCCTTAAACACTGTAGCATAGGTCCCCTGCAGAGATAGAAAGCATGTGAATGCATTTGTGAAATACAGAAAACTGAGTATTTGAAGAGTTTGTGTGCGCTCAGTGTTTCACTTTTCTTTATTGAGCTCACCTCTCCGAGTTTGTCCAGTTTGATGTAGGTTTCAAGTTTCCCAAAGCCGATTTCAGACTAGAGAAAACAGAGAGAAAACAGTTGAGGAAGTTATGAGTGTTATCAATGTGCATTATCACTGAGCCAGTGCCCATTTATTTTGGCTACAGACTGACTGTAGTGCAGGCTTGGCCACTGCAAGATAACTATCTCTAGAATCAAATCCCCCAGGCCAAGACTGTTAGTCCAGATTTCAGTCCCACTGCTGCTAACATTTGGCCTACAACTGCAGGGGTCTGAGTCACCAGGCCTTGTCATTCTGTGTGTGTGTCTGTCTGTGTGCTAAAACATTAGCTTGGTTTTTCCAACACTTACAGTATGTTACTAAGCATCTCTGCTACATCTTATGCATTATCTGCATTACAAATGATCAACACTTTCATAATCCTGAAATTATCTCCGTAGAAACATCTGTATAAAATACCTGACAATTCAGCACCGTGAACATGGCATAGTAAACAGAGTCTGATTGGATAGTGAAAACATTCTTAAAGCTGCTCTCTGCTTGTACCATTTTTACAGTTATTTGATATTTTAAATATGTGGTTCATTTTTAACACAGGTGTACTGGAGACCATATTTCCTGAGAGGACCCTGCATTACATCTAGTGAATAAAAGATACTGAACTAACATTATTTCTATGTGTCTCCAAATCTCTGATATTGACATTCCAGGGTATAGGTCACTCAGTCACCACATACAGTGCATCACATGCACATAGAGACATACAGTATATTCACAATTGTGGCTCACAGTGAGTAGGGAGTGGTGTTTGTAAGGTGTTTGTTGTCCTAATGTGGAACATCGGAACAATTTATCCAACGTGCCGACTCCTTATGTCTCTTTAATGCTGCACAGTGACATCATCGTCAGTTGCACATATATTTTTTGGCCACAGGAAGTCAGTATAACAAAGACAACTGAGTATGTCGTGAGTTCTTCCACTCCAGACAACTTAATGGGGATTAAATGTTATTTCTAAACATTTCTCTGGATATCCGGCAGGCATACTTCACATCTGTGTGCATGGTGAAAAAAAAAATTCTGAATTAATCCTGTACTCGGTTAATAAAGGTTTAGCTGCATAATGTATGTAGTCCCTGGGTTTCCAGGTCATCAATTATAGATGGATGCAGCTATGTCAAGCTGCGATACCCATAGGCCTGTCAGTGTTTCTCCCTCTCCCTGTCATTTTTCCTCACTTATTTGTCTATCTCTGTCAGCCATGTTTTATCTACGTTCATCTCTCTGAACCCACCCATCTCTCTCAATCTTGTGCTGGCCCGTCCCGTCATGATGCTGACATGAGTGCCAGGCCAATGTTCGGCTCTGCACATGTATATGTGTGTGTATGAGGGGGAGGGTCTCCAGTGACCAAGTTAGCTGATGAAGCATGTGATCTCTTTAAAGGCATGCCCAAAAGCCGGACACAAGAAGACACATTTACACACTGAAACAAGTGTGTTGTGTGTGCATGGTCGCACAAATTGTAATTTAAATAGACAACAGACATAATCTTATTTATGTCTGGTAATTCATGTTGGAAATTAATAACAAAATGATGAAAAAAAAATGCATCAATAAAAACAGTGGAGATACGTGTGTATGTGCGTATGTATGTCCGCTTAGTATGTGCAGGAGGATGTATTGTGTGTATTTGATTGTGTGTGCTTGAGGGCAAGAGAATATTTGTGATGAGACATACAGCCTATGCTCAAACGTAAACACACTCACCCTGCACGCACACGCGCATGCACACACACACACACACACACACACACACACACACACACACACACAAAAACATGCTGCTCCCATTTCTGTGTTTGTGACAGGGCCTGTCAGGAGCTATTGCTGAGCTGTGTTGCTCTTTCGGCAGGGGAGTCAGTCTCGTGAGAAAAACACAGACACGCACACATAGTGACACACACACACGGACATTTAAAAACATACAAAACACACATACCACCTCCCCTTCAGTAAATAAATCTGTGGCCTCTCGCCTTTTTGAAAAATCTCTAAAACAAAGAATTGCCCAGCTCTTTATCTCCAGCCCATTCTCTGCTTACAGTGTGCAACTGCCCTCTCTCTATGTACCTTACAATCCTTTTTGAATGTGTGTGTGTGTGTGTGTGTGTGCGCGCGCGCGTGTGTCTGCGTATGCTTTCGATGGCAACGGGTTCATTTTATTCCCAACGCTCCAGTGAGCTTACTCAGCAGAACTAGGTCAGACCAAGTTTTAGTGACAAAATTAAAGCAACATAAAACCAAACAAAAATGTGTGCTCTGTCGGAGCCCTGCACAGGAACTGAGGAGACATACAGATGGATGGACTGACAGCAGAAGTGAGAAACGTGAGAAGAAAGCTGTCTGCAGAGAGGATCAAATGGGTATTGAGAAGAAAGTCCATTACCTCAACCACATTTCATTTTTACAGTTTCTCCGTGTTGAAGGGGAGAAAGAGGATGGATTCACTGTATTGAGTGGGAGAAGGAAAATGACAGGCTTCTGCTAAGAAAAGAGGTGGCAGGAAATGAGAGGTGGGAGGAAAGAAGAGCCCTTTCATTAGCATGATGTAGCCAGTCCTCAGGGCCTCAATCAATCAACCAATAAACATCTTGCTCTGTGTCACCTTTTTCATGTAAAACCCGCCGATAACAACAGACCGAGTGTGACCCAGAGGAATGGGCCGAGTCTTGAGCTGAGTTATGAATTTTTAGTTTTTATCAGTTAACAGCAGTATAATATTCCCAGCAGCAAAGTATAACTAAGTGGAGAGGGGCACATGAACAAGTCTCTTGCCTAAATATACATTTGTTTTATAGTTCTAAAACTACGTGTTGAGCCTTGCATAACACCATTAAGTGTTGTGGTTTGAGATAAAATGACATCTCGGAACACTGAATCTCATTGGACTGCTGTGAATAATTGACTATCAATGGGCACCAGCCATGAGAGAAAACTGATAACATCACTTATATTACATTGGAAGCGATTCAAAGATCAAAACACATGGTTTCAGATGTGAGGATCTGTTACGGCTCACCGGACACATGTTCTGTGTTACGGTAACAGATGATGAGCACACTGATAGCCGAAAAGCCATTACATCATTGTGCTCATACGCATACTGTTTAACTGTTAGATTTTTAAGCATGAACTCTAATAAATAAAATCTAGCTGTATTCTACCCTCCTACATATACTCTGCAGTCCAGCACAGGCTGCTTTAAACCTTCACTGCAGCAGCCATTTGTCTTTTCTTAAACTTCCCTCCACATATTTTTAATCTTTATTTTAAACATTTTCAACATTATTTACAACGTTATTCTTATTTTCAACATCTTATAAGTTTTTAAATCAAGCCTCCCTGTCATTTGTTCCCATAATATCCTCTTGCCATCCCTTTTTCTGCATCTTTCCCTCTCTCTTCCTTGCTCTCTGGTTCAGTTCAAGGTGTCCCGGTGTGTAATCCTAGTCAGGAGAGGAGCTGCAGCAGATGAGTCTGACACTGCTGCTGAATTATTGATTGATCTATTGCATCATGTACATACAACAACCCTAAAGAAGATGCACACCCACTCACAACTTAACAATGTCAGAAAATGTCTGCCACTCATTTACAATGTTGAGACACAAACATCTCTGCAGACTATCCTCTTCTTCTGATCCACCATTACACCATAAACCTCCCCTTTTCCCTGCAAACCTTTCATCTCTGCGAGAGTCCTGCAGAAAAGCTGCGTCATTAAATCGCTTCAAGCCGAGAGCCGGAGGCAGGGCACTGGCCCTGTTCAATAATTACAGCAAAAATGGTTGACGGAGGTTGAATCCTTTATGCTTTCCCATAGAATATCCAGGCTTTTAGTACTCATGTTTTAAGTAAAATGCATCAGTAAAGCAGAGTGAATTAAATTTTTTTTAAAAGGAAGTATGTGAGACGGAAAGTGAAACAGAGACGGTGCACTCTCGCTTTATTTAGTGGTGTATGAAGGGAAACTTGAAAATTTGAGTGATGGCTGAAACAAAAGAATAATGTGGAATAAAGTGTGACCAAAATAAAAACCAAGTGAAAGAGCAGGAGCACTTCAGCAGTGATACAAAGGGTATAAGGGGCATGCTGCATATTCATGAATATCTGCCTGTTCCTACCCATCAGCCCCCTCCCTGTCCATCCAGCAGCAAACACCTCCTCTCTCTCCCACCCCCAGATTCATACTCATAATACTCTTGGCCTGGATACATAATACAGAGTTCATCATTCACCCCCCTACTGAGCCATTGTAAGCTCTATAGCATAACTCAGTGTGTCTTTACAATGAGTCAGTGGACATAATGGCCTTAGTCAACCATGTTAATAGTTCACAATGGCAGTGAAAGTTCACATTACTTTTGTTTCAAAACAGAGCAGCATCAAAAGAAAAGCACACACCCAGTGGTACAAGTACAGATGCTAAGTAGGGACCAAGAAACCACCACAGTGGCTTACTAAAACTAGTCTCAGCTGCTTTGCACACATATACACAAATGCAAATATACACACAGACAGACACACACTGAGTACTGACCAGTGAAGCGCGTCGTAGCCTGCGGCTCATGGGTTTGTCAAAGGGCGGGCTGTTCATGGCAAACTTCTCCAAGTAGCCCTCCGGTAGCCTGATATCAGCTGGGAGAGACAAACGTTTGTTTATGTCCTGAAACAGAGAGAGGGGAATTCAAGAAAGAAAGAAAGGTTAATGAGTATTGTGATACATCAACACCATGCTGATGTTCTTCTCAAATTGTAACCTGTTACCCTCTGACAGCAGTGACATGCTTGAGCGCGGGGTTTCAAACATATGAAAGACATCAATTTACACTGATATACACAGTTTTGTATAGTAATTCAAATGTATACCATAAAGGTCCAAATATAAGATGACATTCTAAATCAGTCAAAACAATATAGGGTATTTGGCATCTTTTAAATGTGGTGAAACATTAGGCGTAATAATAAAAACAAAATAAAATAATAACATTTCTAAATTGAGTTAATAAAGTTGAGTGAAGATGACTTGACATCTCAGACCATCTCAACATTAACAACAACCATCATGAACCCTAGACTAACATCATGTTTCTTGGCCACTTGACAGTAACTTTGATGACTTTGACTTGAGTGATCATCATGATCCAGCTTCAAAATTCTCTCTCAAGCCTTGGTTACTTGACCTACTTTTAAGACCCATAAAAAAACAAAAAAAGAAGGAACACAATCAGCTCTCTCCAGCTGTCTTTCCTGGCAATGAGTTTGTCCAGTGACAGCAACTCACTCCAGTCAAATATGAAGCTTTGGTTTACAGGTGACATCTGCTCTTGTGATTGAATGACAATGTGAATGACAGTTACAACTATTTAGTCTGAATGAAAGACCAAATACAAGGCTGCTACATGATGGGACCAGTTCCAAACAAGTTGCTGGCAAGTTTCAGACTAATTTTCAGAATAATTTGTTGGCAGAGTGAGAGAGTTGGCACACCGCTGTTCCCAAAGTTCCCAAACTCATCTGGAGCACATCTGGAACCAGTCTTTTTGCTATTAAATATGCCTTCTGTCTAAAGTAGCTGACTTCTAGCTGACATTTAGTGGCTCTATGATGACCCTATTTTTATGCCTAAATTTTCAGAATTTCACACAACCTTGTACTTGGGTCACTGTGGTATTTTTGTTTTTCACTGAATTTTACCACACAGCACATGTAAAGTGAATACCTCTGACCAAACTACTCCACATCAGCTGGAATAACTTTCACCTCCTATCCCTCACTGAAATGCAATTTGTGTGATGCTACTTTTACCACAATGCATTGCTACTATATGCTACATGCTCATTGGCAAGGTGCCAATCACACGTTGTTTCCATGGCAGCGGTGGCTGGCCTGGTCCCAATAGCCCCATGGTATGTGTCCTCAATGTGAGTGTGTGAAATGATGTGTGTGTTGACATGTGAACGTTAGTGGGAGCACAGAGTAGTGTGTGTATGCGTGAAGATGAAAGGCAGAAGGATTTTATGCCTGTAATGGCTTTATCTGAGCTCACAGGCTAACATGACAACATGCAGTGTTACATGCAAGGTGTCACCTTAAGGAAGGTGACACCCTTCACGTTTTCACACACTGAAAACGTCAGGCAATGCTCTGCAAACTGCATAAGCACATTATGAAAAATAAGCCACAAACACATGACCTACAGACTTTGAGTGATTTACACATTTTGTATCTCCACTGAACATCTGATTCATAAAAGAGTAATATACAAGAAAGTATGAAAAAAACAACACACTAAAGCTGCACATTGCTAACACAAAAGTGATAACTTTTTCACAAATTTATATTTATATTTCATGCAATCCATAAAGCCAGTGACCTCTGATGGCCAAAACAATAGATCTCCACACATGTGCACTCGCCATGCTCCTTTTCAAAAGGACAACAATGAACACAAGTTCACAAAGACACTGACACTCATGCCCTCTTATTCACGGGTGACTGTGAACTGCGACTGACTAAAGACCCACATATAAACACACACCACACGTGCCCCCATACTCACAATGCAGAACAGCTCTAGTAGCTCCCTCATTGTCCTCCTTAAACGTGTCTTTCTATACATTCACACACATGCGCTTTCAACGATGCATGTCTGTGACCTGCCACATGACTGCACACACACTGACAGAGAGAGAGAGAGAGAGAGAGAGAGAGAGAGAAAGAGAGAGAGAGGCTGGCACTGTGGTAGAGTGCCATCCACATGCTTAGAGGAGGAGGAAGAAAAAAGAGGAGGAGGAGGAGGGGAAAGCATGAGCGGAGGAGAGAGGAATGGACAGATTCCTGAGGGGAGAAAGGCAGATGGGGGGAAGGGGTGAACAGAGGGGGGTGGCTGAGAGGAAACATTGTTTTTCTCTTCTCTCCCACCATCATTTTGTCTTCCATTTCTCATTCTCCCACTTCTCTCTTATCGCCTCCTGAGCTCCGTTCCTCTGGTTCTTTTCTTTCTTTGTCATACCAATAATTATTCCCACTTCCATAATTACTCTCTCACCCCAGCATTTTCCTGTCCTTCACTGCCGCCCTCCCTCTCTTCTTTCTCTCTCTGTGGTAAACATGGTCTAAATTAGTCCCTTCCACTGTTAACAGCAGTCAGAGGCAGCAGCCTGTGTGTCCAGAGGCATTTCCCGTAATACTGCTGCGCTCATCACTCTGCAACTCCTTCCAACAGGCACACACACGCACACGCACACACGCACACACGCACACACGCACACACGCACACACAGTCTGACCGAGACATGAGCACGTACTCTGGGATGTGGCAAAATAAAGCAACAAATGGCAAATTTACCTGTCCACAGATAGCACAGGTGCACTCACACAGACATGCAATTTAAATATGGTCACAAAAACCTGAAATCATTCACAGTACCCCATACAGCGGCCCACTATATTATACGTTGGGTTCACGGTTTTGTAGTCGTAGTAAGAGTAAGAAAATGGTCACCAACTGTGAGGTAACTACCATCATGCTTTGCTCAGACAAGGAAAAAACAGATAAATAGAGTTGGCATCCAGATGAAAGGAATGATCTGAGTAGTTTCTAAATTTGCTTTTTCGCCATCTGATATAACCCAATATCATCCTGATAAAATCCTGAGACTGGATTTATGAGGTTGACACTGATGTCAATATTTGGACGTTTAAAAACATATCGGCTAATATTAAAAAAAAAAAACACACACACACAACATGAATAAATAATCTTGATACTGATTCGTTTTTTGAATTTCTTTAAAATTATGACCAAGATAAATACTGACCAGGACATTTTACAGCTGAAGAATAAACATGTCAGTGCTCTCTGGTGGACAAACTGTAATGTTTCTAAACTGCCTCAAACCCAGTTTGGTATTTCGTTTCTGTAATTTCTTGTAATTAATTGGCAAACATAGATATCTGCAGTAAGCCTATGCCAATATATGGGCCTATCCAATTTATCAGTGTATACCATCTGACAGACTATATAGTCCTCTATATAACATTTCCTTTATAATGTACAGTCAATAGTGACGGAGTGAGTGCTTTCAGACAGAGTGAATTGTGAGGTCATTGTTGAATCTCAGTGAATAATGTTGTGTCCAGGTGTGTATGTCAGTGTGTGTGTGTGTGTGTGTGTGTGTGTAGCAGGTGTATCCTGGCTCCCTGTACCTCATTAGAGATGCGCCGATGGTGGTTGTTCCTCATACGGACCCTGACTGGACTCTGGACCTCATCAGAAGACGTCCCAGACGCCTGGTCACTCTCTCCATCTGAACCCATCTTCACATTCTCATGGACGATACCTATAGAAAACACACGGACACAAACATGCACAGGCAAACTATTATTGACAGGAATTGTACTCTGTGACATTGTAGTGGCGGAGAAACAATACCTGAGCTGAATATTATTCACTCATCTTTAAAAAGCATTCTGTAACTTCAATCATCCCAGATCTTTTGGACTGCTGTTTTGTTTTGTTTAATGACACCAGCGCTCTTTCACTCTATTCTCATCCTCTATTACTCTCTCCATGTGCCCATACGAGGAGACAACCTTTTGTCTTTCTTAGATTTCATTCACCCCTCTGTGAAAACCATAGTAGGGTCCCAATCCCCAGATGATGGATTGTACCACCAGCCATGCACGGGTGTTAGCCGAGTGTGTATAAAATGCCATTGGTAAGATGAGGAGGTCTGAGATTGATATTACCCTGCATGCAATGGGAGCTTTCCTGTCTCTGCCTGCCACCCCCCCCCCCCCCCCCCCCCCCCACACACACACACACACACACACCTCCATCCTCCCCCAGAATCCATCTGATTAATGAGTCACGGTGCTGCAGACAGGACTGCCTCCTTCAGTGGTGTGTGAGTAAATGTGGGGGAAGGGTCTCTTCGCTGTATGATGCCTGATAACTCTCAAGCTGGGTCATGTGCAGCACATACAGTATGTGTGAGTGGTCAGTGTGCATGTACGTGTGTGTACGTGTGTGTGCACACATTTGTTTTGTGTTTGGGGTAGGAACTTGAGGGATGTCAAAGCTCACTCCTTTATGCTAGTAACATCTTACTTTACCATCATCTACTGTTTACACTTCAAACAGCCACCATCAGCAGGGAACAGGGAGATGGAGGGAAGATTAGGAGATCGGGAGAAGATGGCTTTGGTGAGAAGTGAAGAAGAAAGAAAAATAAGTCCCTTGAGTGACTGTGACACCTCAGCTGTAGGATAAATCGACTGAGGGCCAGATAGGTAAAGCTATTTATTATGGTGCACTGTCTGTCAGCTGCAGAGCAGAGCAACACCACCTCAGGCTGATTCTAGGTCATTTATGTGTCTCTTTCATGTAGTCAAGGTTAGGATTTGAGAAAGGCAGGCTGATCAGTGGAATCTGCCTTAAGACTAAAATGGAAAAGATGCGATATGGACTCAGTGAGCAGCGTATCAAGACAGAGCAAACAATTTTCTCAATACAGTATTCTTTTTACTTTTTATAACCTAGAGAGAAAAGGGGATTTCTGAAATGTTAAGCACTGCTACTAGCACAATATAATATGCACTGGCCTGAAAATATTTGTCAGTAATGGACAGTATGTCATCCTCTGACCGACAGGGTACTTTCTGCAAAGGTTTTCCTATTGTAAACATTCACCTATTTATACACTAAATCTAACTTTGAATTGTGTCAGAGATTTTCTTACTGACACAAACAGTCAACTACCTGTACAGATCCCAGATGATAATTTCAGCCTACATCTGTCCACTGGTCCAATTATCTGTTGACAAAAGCAGCATATGCTCATTAGCAACACAACCCAGACACAATCCATCTGTGTAAATGCTTAGTAAACCGTTTCTTAGTCATTTAATTCCAAGCCTGATGAGCTGCCTGTGGCCTCAAATCCACACACAAGGATACAGGGTTTGTATATAGAGTAGCTTGGTAGGAAAACTGAGCAATGAGTAGTCATATCAGGAATCAACCCTCACAACCCAGATGGTGAAACATTAAACCTAAGGTAACTGACACCAGAGAGAGGGGAAATTGATCCAGGATATCTACATACTGACAGACGCACACACATGACCACACTATCACGATGAGTTGAGTATCCAGTGCTGCTATTATGTCACAGGTCTTTCTCACTTTCGGAGAGGTCTTGAGCTTGTCTGTTTGCGTAAACAGTCAAGCAGATGTGGGTGTATGAGACCGGTCGACTGAGCTGGGAGGAAAATTCCACCCCTCCACCCCCACCCCCCCAAAACAACATCATACAATAAATGTTCTGTTCACACATGCAGTATGTGCATTGATCTCTCATACACTGGCTTCTCCAATACACTTCTCAAAATAAACGCACAATCACGCTAACATCCCAATCACATGGGATGATCTTTTTTCAAGCCTCCTGCAGGTTCTTTCTGCTCCATTTCCATAGCAGACTAAGAGCAGACAGTAAATGTCATGAGCTACACCTGCCTCCCTGTGTGGAGCCCGGCTGGCCTAGATAGGGTTGCTGACTCCCTGCTAGCACGTCTGGAAGAGTGAGTGGGCTGCTTTTAGAAATATCCTTAACAACTCTGCATATACTCCACTTAGCTAGAAATCCATCTCTGGCAAAAGTTGGCAGTGCCTCAGAAAATAATTGAAAAGCCAGTGGAAAGGATGTTAAGAGAAGTAAAGTAAGTGTAAGATTCACTTCAGAAGTCCTTCAAAGAGTAATGAAAATCTTGGGATTTCTTTTGTCAAAAGCCCTCACTCTGCAAGGCCAGATATCGAGTTCAATGCGTTGCTCGAGGGTGCAATGGTAGATTTAATAGTTACTGGTTTATTACAAGGCTTTGAACTTTACTTCTCCATTTTTCCTCTTAGGCCAAGATTTCTCAAACTCTTTCTAAGCACGGGACACCATACTGTCTGATGTTGGCATGAGTGGCAGGAATATAGATACTGCTGTCTTTGTGCTGACATGCAAATGAATAAAAAAATTCAAAAGAAGAACTTGAAGGACTCTCAACTTCCCTGAGGAGTTCATGGGATCCCTGAAGATAACCACACACACTGCCCTGGGCCAACCCACTGCATTTCTAATCTTTAAACCAGCCACATAAAGGAGATAATCTTTTCAAATTAATAAGTTTAAGATGTTCAAAGTTGTAGGATCAGCAGATTCTGAGAGAAAGCTACTTAGCATAATTCTTTGTAATTAATAAAACCTCAGGACACTTGTTTGATCTTTATTTCATCTTCCATACAGTGAAATCAGTAAATACAGACTTTCTACATGCGTTAATGCAATGGGAATACAACTATTTTAAGACTTTAAATGGCACTAAGTAGGATTAATTTCAGTGTCATCTACTGAACAATATTTTACCTAAATCTATTAAACTCTATATATTGTTATAAAAACTGCTGTCATCTGAACACTATATTCTTGGACCTGGATCCGAGGAAATGGAGGATCAGGATGTAGATGAACCTGATGATGAAGATGCCAGTGATGTGACTCACCAATACGGTTTCCTGGAGGACGGCATGAGTCCAGCACTCGAAGCATACGGAAAGGTGACAGCCTCAGCGGGGTGTCTCTCTCCCCCATCCTCGTCCCCTCTCCCATTCTAGCCTCCCCAGACTTAGCGTCTCCCACCCTGGGAGCACGAGCAGAGCACCCTTGGGGATTGCCTGACATATCCATTGTTCCAGAGGACTCAAAGTTTTACAGCTGAAAGTGTGTATAAAAATTCTAAATTACATTTTACGAAGAGCTATATAAAAAAAAAAAATCCAGGAGTTGAGCCCATTTCAGTTCAGTCTTGGTGTCCAGTCAACCGGTCGGGGTGGGACCCAGGTTTCAGGAGCTGTAGCTTTAGGCTGCCTCCTTACCTCCAGGAGAACCCCATGCAGTAGAGCACAGGTCTTACATTGGGAGGACAGTGCAGACTGCACAGGCACACTAATCACAATGCAACAACTCCCTCGGCTACTACTCCACTTTAACTCTCTCTCTCTCTCTGTCCCTCTCTCTCCCTCTATCTCTGTTTTTCCTGTAGACACTCCCTCTCTCTCTTTCTTGCTCTTTCTCTCTCCGCAGTCACACTCTGCTTGCTGACTAAGGAAGGTCAAACACTGTGCAGGTAGGCAAAATGCTGCAGAGACGGTCCAACACACGCAAGCTGAAAACTGTTACACCCCATCATCTCAAAAATAACAGGTGTTCTGTCTCCATCTATATAATTCCCACCGAAACACACACACACACACAGGCACAAGTACAGACACCCAAACTTACAGCTCTGTCCAGGTAGAAAAACACTTTCATCTGTCTGGTGTTCAACTATCTGACCTCTTTGGCTTCCAGCTCTTCCTTGTGCATTCTCTCTCTGGTCACTTTGTTATTTACAGCCCAGTGTTGTCTTCTTTTGTCCTCTTTTCCTCCTTCTCTGTCAGAACTCCTCCCTTTGTCCTCCCTGTTCTTCCACTGTTATTCAGCACACCACACTATTCAGGCTGTTGTACCGCTCTCCCTCTCTCGATTGCTCCCTCCTTGCCTCTGGCGCCCCTATCAGTGCTTTCAATATTGTTACTCCTCCTGCTTCCTCCCTTCACCTTGCTATTACTCTCCCCTCTCTCATGTGATACCAATCTCTCGCTCTCCCTCTCTCTCCCACCTCCCGCTGCGATCCCTCCCTCACTCTGCCTATCTCTGTCTGGGTCTAGAGATGGTGTTGAATATACAGTACAGTCCTCCTCTCGTTCTATTCAGGAGCCGATGACAACATTTTCTGCCTGATCAGCCTCTTCCTTGCAATCCGTCTCTACTGCTCTATCTCATTCGCCTTCTCTCTCTCTCTCTCTCTCTCTCTCTCTCTTGCTTGGTGCCTCCTCTCCACCCTCTGCCTCCTCATCCCTATCACTGTCTACCGCAGAAATTGAAACCCTAAGGCTTCTGAGTGACGCCTCCGGCACCCTAGCTTCATACTCTCTCTACCTTCCTCTTTCTCTTTCTTCTTCCACCCTTCCCAATGGACCTCAAGCATGGGCCATTATTCATGCTCAACTCATACACACATACACACACTCTCTCCTATACATGCCACCTATTAAGTCTACACACATACATGGCTCTGTCTGCTGCCCCTGCAGAGCGTACAGACTATGTACAATTACATTCCTTACACAAATCACAAACTATTCAGCAGGATGAACAAGTGTTCATGCTTGAGAATGTTTTGCTGCACTTGAAAATACTTGTGTTTTCTTTGTGTAGATCCAAATGAAACGTGCAGTAGAGTCTGT